AACAATGACCCATCCACCACCACTCTCTGGATGCAGCCCTCCAGCCAGTTGGCAACCCAATTGACTGCGTGGGTGTTGACACCACAGTCCCCCAGTTTATTAATGAGAACGTGGTGAAAGACAGTGTCGAAGGCCTTGCTGAAGTCCAGAAAGACTACATTTCCCCTCAGCATAATTTTTCCTGCTGGGCTCTCACATATATGAGCCTTAATAATCTTTTCAAAGACTTTGCCAAAGATGGAGGTGAGACTGACTGGCCTATAGTTGCCTAGATCCTCCTTCCTCCCCTTCTTGAAAACAGAGACCACACTGGCCCTTTTCCAGTCCTCCGGGACCTGTCCCCTGCGCCACGAGCGCTCAAGTATCCTTGCCAGTGACTCTGCAATGGTATCAGCCAGTGCCTTCCATACCCTCAGATGGAGCTCATCCAGGCCTGCCTACTTAAATACATTCAGTCCTTTCAAGTGACCCTACAACATCTCAGGGTCAATGCTTGGTAGTCTGGCGCCCAGCTGCTGCCTCTCTACAATACCATTGTGAGACTTCTCTTGCCCCTCGTTTAGGAAGACTGAGGCAAAGAACTCATTGACGAGTTCAGCCTTGTCCTCCCTGTCTGTCACCAATTGCTTTTGCCCATTCAGTAGTGGTTCTATTCCACCCTGGACCTTCCTTTTACTCCCTATATAGCTGAAAAACAATTTTTTGTTATCCTTAACTTGAGATGCCATCCTCAGCTCCATGGTAGCTTTGGCCTTTCTAACTGCCTCCCTACAACTGCAAGCTGAGGAGGTATACTTCTCTTTACTAATCTCTGTTTCCACTGCTTATATGCCCCCCTTTTTGTCCTTAGGCTGCTCTGGATTTCTCTGGTCAGCAAGGAAGCCTCTTGGCCCCTTTTCCCCCGCATCGAAATAGTCTCCCTCTGTGCCCAAAGGATCGTAACCCTTCAGTTACATTACTCTCAGACAAAGAGATGCACTGAAGAAAATTTCAAAACAACTTATGAGGAGAGGCTGAGGGACCTGGGCTTCTTTAGTCTGGAGAAGTGAAGACTGAGCAGGGATGTAGCAGGAGCCTTCAACTACCTGAAGGGCAGCTCCAAAGAGGATGGAGCTGGACTGTTCTCAGTGGTGACAGATCACAGAACAAGGAGCAATGGGCTCCAGGTGCAGCAAGGGAAGTTGAGATCAGATATTAGGGGAAAAACACAAAACCTCAAAGCACGGGGGGAGGTGCCCCCATATTTATGCAGGGCAGGACAGGCTGCAGCCGGGGCTGCCCGGGGCTCTTCTAGGCAGAGGCTGGGCTCAGAG